CTACATCCAACTGGTTTCTTCCCTTTGGGTTGATCAACTAGCTCCCAAGTATTGTTTCTCAGAAGGGCATCCATTTCTACCTTCATTGCATCTTTCCACTCAAGAATGGCTAGGGCTTCCTGTACTGTTCTAGGAATGGGAATATCAGCAATTGATATAAGAAATGACTTGTAAGAGAGAGACAAGTGATCATAAGACAAGAATTGTGAGATACAATGGGTTGTGGATGAGGTGCAACGGCATTTGCCTTTACGGACTGCAATGGGAAGGTCAAGATCATTCAATGGAAGTAAGGGCTCAGAAGATGGAGAAGGCTCAACAGCGGAAGGCTCATCTGTAATGGGAGATGGAAGAGATGTAGTATCTAGATCTGGATCTTCAGAAGGAATTGGGGCTGGCCTGAAGTGCTGATGACCGAAATCAACTTGCCTCCATCACCTGTGATAAACTCTAAAATCCCGACATTTTTGACAACCCTCCCCATTACACCCCTCTTCACTCAATGGAACAGGTAAAGGGACTTCTAATGTGTTAACACCAACCGTACTACTCTCCCCCTGAGAAGAAACCCTAGAGTAATAAGGTACATCCTCAAAGAAAGTAACATCCATGGATACAAATCTCTTTCCTGAAGCAGGTTCGTAGCAGCAGTATCCCTTTGGAGTTTGTGCATAACCAAGGAATTTGCACGAAGCAGGTACAACCAAAGGTTTTAAGAGGGACAGAAAACAACCCTTTATCAGGATATAAAAGACTGAATGGGGGGTTTCATGTCAAGAACCCGTGAAGGAATTCGGTTGATGAGATACACAGCTGTGAGAATGGCATCTCCCCATAAATTTATAGGCACAATGGAGTTGAATATGATACTTCTAGCTACTTCCAATATATGCCTATTCTTTCTCTCAACCACCCCATTCCGCTGAGGGGTATGAGGGTAGGTACTCTGATGGATAATCCCATGGTCAAGAAAATAAGAGACTAGTGATGTTTTAAAGTGTTCTCTCGCATTATCGGATCTGAAAATTTTGATCTTTAACCCAAACTGGGTTAAAATCGTCTAATGAAAGGTCTGGGTTAGGGTAGGGACCTCATCTCGAGAACGCATCAAGTAGAGCCAAGAAAACCGAGTGTAGTCATCAACAACCAGCAAGAAGTATCTGTACCCCCATAGCAGTGATGTGATATGGTCCCCAAACATCGGTATGCACAATGTCAAAAGGAACACTACTTCTCTTATTACTTAATGAATAGGTTGTTCTACAATGCTTTGCAAGCTTACAACTTTCACACTTTAAACTAGACATCTGGATAGATTCAAATAAACTAGGAAACAAGCTTTTCAAAGACCTAAAGGATAAATGACCCAATCAATTATGCCAAAGCATGACTTAACCAATAGACTAAGAAACAAAAGACCCTCTAACTTCACTATCGTCCCACTGTGAACTTCCTCCAAGCAGATAGATTCCATTTGTCTCACGGCCAATCCCAATCACCTTCCTTGTCTCCAAGTCTTAAAAAACACATCGATCAAGAAAAAAGGTTACTAAGCAATTCTAGTTTTTAGTAATGCTACTAATTGAAAGTAAATTGGTGCCAAGTTTAAGAACATGCGGAACAGAAGAGAGGGAAATGGCACTAAACAACTTAATGTCTCCCTTGCCAGAAATGGGAACAAGTGATCCATCAGCAATAGACACCTTGTCTTTACCAGAGGATAAGTAATAGGTAGTAAATAGTGAAGGCAAACCAGTCATATGATCAGATGCACCTGRGTCTATTACCCAACAATGTTCAGTGTTACTTGGAGCTGAAGCATGATAGGTTGAGGCCCATGTACCTAAATGAGCAAATGTTGAAGTGGGAGGATGTTGTGACTGACTGAGACGATGATGCTGAATTACCAACCTCCTTTTCCAATTGAGTCAAGGCAGCTCGGACAGACAAAGAATGTCTAGTGGTGCTTCTCTGGTGCCTGATGAAGTTGCACAATCAGTAGTAACAGTTGTATTAGCATTCCCCTTTTTGTTCCTGAGTTTTGCAGAAACTAGATAAGGATGTAGCTTCCAACAGGTTTCTTTGGTATGCTTAGGTTTCTTGCAATATTCACATATTAAGTCCTTCTTCATATCTCTCTCTCCTTATCCCCCCAAAACTTGGGTTTAGTTGCTGCCAAGGCTGATTCAAGTGGCGAATGTTGTAAGATAACTTTCCTTCTACTTTCTTTGTTGTGCACTAGAGAGTAAGCTTGTGATAGTCACATTGTCTCTTGTTAGAAGTTGTTGTCTCAAAATGTCATACTCAGAATTCAGACCAGCTAGAAACTCAAATACCCTATTGGTTTCAACCTGCTTTCTATAGGTCTATGAATCCTTCTGGCTTTCCCACTCAATTGTTTCTAAGATTTTGAATGAAGGATTTCAGAAAAGAAAATGATGCTTAATCTGTCGCCCCCTCTTTCTATTTATATTAATTCTGAAATAAGGATAAGACTGCTTACGTGGCAAAATTAAAATCCTAATAAAAGACAACAATTAAAGTCCTAATAAAAGACTAACAACTAATTGTGGACTAACACTTAAATATCTAGTAGATGTATACAAGTACAATAGAAAGAGGTGGGGACCACATAGTAGTTATATACGAGTACAATAGAAAGAGATGGGGACCACATCTGTGGCTTCTATAGGCTACATACCGGGTCCAACACACAGGTACACCAACCATGTGAAGGAGGCACTGCAGATTCCTAGGTAGCAACTATCATTTTTGTTTTCTTTTCTATAGGTATATGAATGTCAAATTTTTCATGATGTCCAATTTTTTTATGGCAACCTTTTTTTCCCCTTATGTGTGGACAAATCCATTTTTTTCAACTCACTGCACACTCCCTAAGACAGATTCGCTATCCATGCAATGCTGCCCTCCACCCTTCTCTTAAAAATCCATATATACAATGACAAATAAACATAATACATCAAAATATTAATTTTTCAAATTGCAAAGTGCAAACTATGCTAAACAATTGCGGTATGATTTGAATTCCGGTAACTCCATAAAATTTTGGGAACAAACCTGGGTGGGGAGTGCCCCTCTAAAGGATCAGTTTCCTTCTTTGTTTGCTCTTTCTGATTTGAAAAATGAGTCAATCTCGTCTTTTACCACCCCGTCCTCTTCCATTTCTGGGATTGGGTGGAACTTGGGTCTAAG